AAAACAGAAGTGAGGTACAGAAACAGCTGGATTGGTTATGGCTTGGCATTCGCCTTATTTGAAACCAGTTTGAACAGCTGGTTGCCTGTGATTGGCCAAAACTTAGTGATTAGCACATGCGTAGGTTACAATCTGTTTACACATTCAGTTAAGTTATAGTTCATTATGTATGGAGAAACCTTTAGACAGAACGTAAAATATGTAAGGTGGCAGCTTTAGACTAAACATAGTTTGACAGCAACTTCACTAGACTGATCCAGCATTATCCTGCTAAAACTAGACAGAGCCCAGGTGAGAATGAGTCAAAAACAAAGAAGGTTCAGAGGAGATTGACTAAAGTTTGGTTGAAGAGAGAGACTTTGTCATTAGAAAACATTGGTGAATACAAAAGTTAAATATCTCTGCTCTGTGAGCTTATATTTTGGTGGAAGTGAGGGGTGTGTAGCATAATAATAAATTATATATTTATTTTAAAAGATAAAAAATCATGCCTCTCATGCAAATATAACATGAATACATATCAAAGATTTGACTAATTCATTAATAATAAATCATTAAGAACTATGAAAATCTGAGATTTTTAACTATTAGTAAGTTACCAAGTTGGCCTTATACAGTTTCTACAGGTACTAACAGAAGACACGACCTTCCTGGGTCTGAACAAAGGACTTGATTACTCACAGCAAGGACAGTAGGCAGAGGATCAGTATCTTCTTATGACATTTTCTTGAGCCCCAGTTCTCATAGGGTGATATGAAGAGACAGTACTGCATGTGAAAGTAGTGAGTTGTGTGACAACAGAGGAACCCTGAGATTACACTATAGTATATGAGAAGATGAGATTTAAAGATTTGAAAGAAGTGAGGAAATTAGTCATGGGGATATAGAGAGAGCAATCCAGGAAAAGGGAGCAGCCAGTGCAAAGGTCCTGAGGCAGGAGCATGCCTTACTTGTTGAAAGAATAGCAGGAAGACCAATGTGGCCAGAGTGGAGTGGGGGGGGGGCAACAGAAAAAGACATAGACGGTGACATTAAGGACGTGTAGGATGCCAGACAATATTACGCCTTAGAGGCTTTTTAAGGACTTTGGTTTTTACTCTGTGTGACATGTGGAAGGTTGCTGCAGAGTTTTCAGCAGAAAAATGACAGTGATCTGACTTAGGTTTTGAAAGGATCCCTTTGACTGAGGTGTTGGAAGTAGAAGGGAGGGGGCTGGGAAGGTGGGCACAGGTATAGAAGCAGGTAGACTAGTTGGGAAGTTGTTGTGATCTAGGTGAGATACGATGGCAGCTCCCACCAAAAAGTCAGTAGCAGAAGTGTCTCTTGGTGAGACACAGGTGATCAGTCCTATTCTAAGATATTTTGAAGGTTAAGCAGACAGGATCTGCTGATAGATTGGCCCTGGGGTACAACAGAAAAAGAAGATTCAAGGGTGCCTCCAGGGCTTTCTACCTGAGTAACCAGAAGGACTGGTTTGCCACCACCTGACATGGGGAAAGTGTGGAAAGAGCAAGTTTGGGGGCCACTCTCTTTGACTCTTATCTGCTAAGTGACTGGTTGGGATAGGTGTCACCCTCCTCTGTCTTAGTTCCTTGGTATTGCTATAACTTTAGACTGGGTCATTTATAAATAATAGAAATGTATTGCTCACCTGTCGGGAGGCCGGGAAGTCTAAGATCAGGCAACAGATTCAGGATCTGGTGATGGCTGTGTGCTTTGTAGATGGCATCTTCGTGCAGCATCCTCAGACGTGTTCTCACATGGCAGGAGGGCCAGGGGCTCCCTACACCCTCTCTTCCAAGGGCACTAATCTCATCCAAAGGCCCCACCTCTTAATGCCAGCACACGATGGTTGGGTTTCAACATGAATTTTGGCAGGGATACATTTCAGACCCTAGCGCCTTTGTCTTGAAGAGACCTGTCCTATAGTTTGAGAATAAAGCAAGGAAGAAAGCCACGTCCAGTGCATTCTTCATTGTTAACTCAGCCTGAACTAGGGCTGAGACCTTTTTATTTCCTTTGGCCACTGGGTTCCACTCTGATGTGCTTTCAGTAAAAAGGTGGGGGTGTGTGTGAGGGATACGTACAGGTAATAAGCATGTATTAATTATCTCTTGCTGTGTAACAACATTGCCACAAACTCGGTAGCCAGAACCAACACACACTATTTTCACATACACGTAGTTTCTGTAGGGTAGGAGGAGTCAGGGCACAAATTAGTTGGTTCCTTTGCAAGACTGCAATCAAGACATTGGCCAGGACTAGGTTTTCAACTAGAGCAGTGGTTCTCAACCTTCCTAATGCCACGATGTATTTTCATTGTGACAAAGGGGTCACGACCCACAGGTTGAGAACCGCTGATCTAGAGGCTCCACAGTAAAAGGATCTTCTGCTCACTTACGTGGTTCGTTGGTAGCTTAGAATTCCTTGTGGTAGTTGGACCAAGAGCTTCAGATGCTTGCCAACTAGCAACTGAGGCTGCCCTCAGTTCTTTGCTATAATGGTCACCAGTACGGCCACTTGCTCCTTTGCAGTCATCAAAGGAGACAGACTCAACAATACGGGTATTGCAAACTTATGCAATGCAGTCATATATGTCCCATCGCCTTTGCTGTACTCTGTTGGCCAGGAGCAAGTCACGGACTCAAAGGGAGGGGATTACACTAGAGTGTGAGTACCAGGATGTGGGTGGGTGGGGGATCAGGGGACTGCTCTAGAGTTTGTCTGCCAAAAAACACCTGCTCTGTGCCAAATCTGGGCTAACACATTAGTATACATCGCCTACTCTCGTTCTCTCGGCCACCTCGCACAGTGGGTTTATCAGCCCCAGTCTTATGTGGAACTCATACCCAGGGAGGGAGATAATAGGAGAAGGAAGGTATGGTTCAAGGCTGTGTGTGACTCTTTTTTTCTTCCTCCTCTCCAGTCTCCAATCGGAAGAAGGCGGTAGAGGCAAAATGCAGCCTGGCCTGTGAGTACCTGAGTGAGGAGGATTACATGGACTTGCTGTGGACCACTCTCTCTGAGTTCCCAGGTGAGGGACCCATGCAAAGTGTAGCTGGGGCAGAGAAGCCTGATAAGGTGACGTTTGTTCACCTGGTGGCTCTGTGTGTGCCACCTGGAAGCAAATTTTGTTTCTAGGTCAGCCAGGGAATTTTATTTTTCAATTCTTAGCTACAAGTTGTCAAGAACCATAAAGGGTCTAAGATTTTACTCGACCTGAAGATTAACAAGTTAAGCTGCCGGGTTTCAGGCATGTTAGTAAAAGACATGCGATTACTGGGTCAGAGACAAACGTCTATTCCAGTAAGCAGCATACTGAAACTCAGGTCCTTCTCTCCTTTATTTATTATGTTGACTATTTTATTCGTTTTTGTTCACTGATGCATCCCAAACTCCTAAAACAGTTCCAGGCACTTGGTTTATTGACTAAAGGAATATGGAAAATGAGATTATTAACAGCATTTACTTTAGAGGATTTTTTTGATAATTAAATATAATAGGTGTAAAAACACTTTACCCAACTTGAATTATTATTATTAATAAGTGCTGTGCAGAACTACCTCTACTGAGGCAGAGTGTGTTATTTTTTTAGTCCCACTTTAGTCTTCATTTATAGATGAAGAAACTAAAGTTCAGAGGAGGTGAGGGACTAGTCCAGGATCACACAGCAAGTTAGAGGAAAGTGGAGGCATCAGAACCAAGGTGTTTCTGACTCCCAGTACAGGTATTCAGTGGACACCATCATTTAGGCACCTGTTGGTGTCTGTATTTGTTATCTATTGCCTTGTAACAAATTGGCCCAAAATGTAGTGACTTAAAGCAACACACACTCATCATCTCACACTTGCTATGGGTCAAAAGTCTAAGAGTGGCTCACCTGGGTCCTCTGCTGCAGTGTATTTCACGTGGCTGTAATCAAAGAGTTGGCCTAGGGCCCATGGTCTCATCTGAAAGCTCAACTGGAGAGAGGATTTGCTTCCATGCTCACTCACATGGTTGCTGGCAGGATCCAATTCCTTTAGGAGTTGTTGGACCACAGGCCTCCGTTTTGTGCTGGCTGTTAGCCAGAGATCTACCTTTAGTTCCTCACCAGGTGGCTTCTTTATGAAGGCAAGCACACAAGAAGAGCCAGGGAGAGAGAATGCCAGCAGAACAGACATCACAGTGCTTTATAACCCAGTCTCAGAAGTGACACTCATCACTTTTACTGTCTTCTGGTCCATAGGAATGAGTCATTAGGTCTAGCCCACTCTTGGCGGGGGGATGATATGGGACGTGCATACCAGGGTGGGGGTCATTGGGAACCACACTAGAACCTGCCTGCCATGCCCTGCTCCTCTCCAGGTGTCCTGGTGACTCTGTGGATCATTGACCGCCTAGGCCGCAAGAAGACGATGGCCCTGTGCTTCGCCATCTTTTCCTTCTGCAGCCTCCTGCTGTTCATCTGTGTTGGAAGGTGCGTTATCCGGCTCAGGGTTGGGGCCTTGATGTGGGTGGGGGCAGGATGGTGCTTTGACCCTCATTTTGTGCTAATAAATTTAGACTTTTGACATCACCTCCCAATAAGATCATACATGTGGCTGTTTAATTTATATATGTGTTGTCAATTTGTTTGATGGAAATATTTCAAATAGATCCTATTTTATAATCCCATTTTGGCATTTTTCTATCTACCAAGACCCTCAAAAAATAGAAGTAGACTATGCCTCTCTGGACCTCGGAGAGATCCCAGACCAAATACAGTGAGGAATCTGTGGGCCACATCTTGGTTTGAGGAAGATTGGGAGATGTAGCTTAAACCCAGAAATGTTGATATTCTGGGACATGTATGGGAACAATGGAACAGAGGGCTGGGGGCCAGGATTGTCCTAAAAATACTGCACAGTAGTTTACTTTCCCTAGCACAGCGGGTTCCTGGCTCAATTCCTGTTCCGAGAAGTTCCTGTCTTGGAGCTTTCAATTATTTGTATCACTTCTCCCCAATCTTGGCCCCAACCTGGGCACCAGAAATGTCCCAATCTCTCAGCCTGATGCTTTGGGGAATGACAAGTTTACAAAAGCAGGCCTTTCATGGTGGTCCTGGAATATGTGTGTCTGCACGTCTGCATGAATGTGTACGGGGGTAGGGGGTGGCCTTTGTCAATTTGCTAGGGTGTAAATTTTGCTTGGGAAGATAGAACTTTGCTGAAACAAGCAGAACAACAACCAAAAAAATCATCATCTGCTTTTTCCCCCTCCCTAGAAATGTGCTTACTCTGTTACTCTTCGTGGCAAGAGCATTTATTTCTGGAGGTTTTCAAGCAGCCTATGTTTACACACCTGAGGTAGGAGGGGTGTTTGGGAACAGCTGGGGCGGGGAGGGGATAAGCTCAACCTGGACTGAGCAGAATGAAATTTGTCCCGGGAGTTGAGTGGTGATTGTGAAGCCTTAAGTGAGCCTCCCACCTGAGCCTCCCAGAGTGCTAGGATTAGAGGTGTGAGCCACCATGCCCACCTAAGAAGGGTTTTATAAAGAAACTAGTTACAACATGTGGGGTAAAGATTAGGGAAACCAACAAGTGACAGGGCAGTGTCTTGGGATAAGGTGGCTGGGGGAACTGCCACCCAAGGCCAATGCAGAGAAGGAAGGGTGCTGCACAGAATCTCAGGAGAGAGTCGTGTGTGATCTTCAGTTGAAGGACATGAGGAAAATTCACATCCCAGTATTCATTTACAAAGTTTTATTGGAACGCACTGTGCCCTTTCATTTACTAATATTCCGTCTACACTGCCTTTGTGCTACATCAGTGAAGTTGAGTACTTGCCAGAAACCATGTGGCCCTCAAAGCCCAAAATATTTACTTTCTGTCATTTGGGAAAAGTCTGCTAATCCTGGCTTACACTAACCTAGCTGGCTATTTGTAACAATAAAGAATGGGTTAAATAAATGATAAATGATAGAATTCTGCGTAGCTGATAGAAAACAAATACGGACAAGGGAAATCTTCACAGTCTTTTTCTTTTTTTTTTGTTTTGAGACAGAGCCTCAAGCTGTCCCCCGGGGTAGAGTGCCGTGGCTTCACAGCTCATAGCAACCTCCAACTCCTGGGCTCAAGCGAGTTTCCTGCTTCAGCCTCCCAAGTAGCTGGGACCACAGGCACCTGCCACAACGCCCAGCTATTTTTTGGTTGCAGCCGTCATTGTTGTTGTTTGGCGGGTCCAGGCTGGATTCGAACCTGCCACCTTAGGTGTATGTGGCTGGTGCCTTAGCCACTTGAGCCACAGGCGCCGAGCCTCACAGTCTTTTTCTAAAAGACAGTATTCCAAGTAGCGCGTACAGAAGTATCTTGTGGATAAAACGATATCCTCTCTGGGATTTGCTTCAGCATAACTCAGGAGAGGGAGAAGATAAGAGAGGTATACCCAAAACAGACACAGGTCACAGAGCTTGATACTAAGGAATTTATTACCACTCTACTTGACTCTATTCTCAAAATTCTCCATATTCAAAAGAAAAATGGGATAATAATACTAACTCATTTTTAAAAGTTACATTGAGGTCGGATGTAGTGGCTTCTGCCTATAATCCTTGCACTTTGGGACCTGAGGGAGGAGGATCACTTGAGGCCAGGAGTTTCAGATGAGCCTGGGCAACACAGCACGACACCATTTCTATAATTTTTTTTCAAAAGTTAGGTAGGTATAGTGGAGCAGTCCTGTAGTCCTAGCTACTCAGGAGGCTGAGGTGGAAGGATCACTTGAATCTAGGAGTTAGAGATTGCAGTTAGCTGTGATTGTCCTACTATTCTCTAGCCTAGGTGACAGAGCAAGACCCTGTCTCAAAAATACATGCATACATATATACATACATAATTTTTAACAATTGAAGCTACATTGAGCGCCAACCATATGCTAGGCAATTATATATTACATTATATTTTATGTTTTATATTATGTATATATTATGTACATGACATATGAATTAATCCATATTGAATTGTAAACTGCGGAATATCCACTGTGGAATAAAATCATTGCATTTAAAAGTAGATTCATAAAAAAATAAAAAAGTAGATTCATAGTCTGGGTGGGATGGCTAACACCTCAGCACTTTGGAAGCTGAGGCAGGAGGATCACTTGAGGTCAGCAGTTCAAGATAGCCTAGGCAACAGAATGAGACTCTATCGCTAAAAAAGCTTTTTTAAGGCTTGGAGCCTTTAGCTCAGCAGCTAGGGCACCAGCCACATACACCAGAGCTGGCGGGTTGGAACCCAGCCTGGGCCTGCCAAACAACGACAATTACAACAACAACAAAAAATAGTCAAGTGTTGTGTCAGACGCCTGTAGTCCCAGCTGCTTAGGAGGCTGAGGCAAGAGAATCACTTAAGCCCGAGAGTTTGAAGTTGCTGTGAGGTGTGATGCCACAGGACTCTACCGAGGGCGACATAGTGAGACTCTGTCCTTCCCCCCCAACAAAATTTTTTAAGTTAGCCAGGCATTGTGGTAGGACCTATAAGTCCCAGGTACTCAGGAAGCTGAGGCTGGAGGATTAGTTGAAATCGGGAGTTCAAGACCAGTCTGAACAACATAGTGAGACTCCATCTCTATAAAAAATAGAAAAATTAGTTAGGTGTGGTGGTAGATGCTTGTAGTTCCAGCTGCTCAGGAAGCTGAGACAGGAGGATCACTTGAATCCAGGAATTTGGAGTTGCTGTGATAATGCCACAGCACTCTGGCCCAGGCAACAAAATGAGACTTTGTCTCAAAAAAGAAAAAAAGGAAGAAAAGAAAAACATCCTAAAGTAGAGTGTTTTGACACACTAGAAGTTTCTCCTGTGGAAGCATTCAGCATGGGTGTCCTAGGTTGGGGGACGGCTTTCTTCTCCATGGTGGTTCAGGTACCAGCCACCTGGCATCTTGTGATTTTGCTCCAGGGGACACTTGACAATGTCTCCAGAGATTCTGGGTTATCACAATGGGGGGAGGGGGAGGGCAGAAGTGCTACAGGCGTCTAGTGGGTGGAGGCCAGGGATGCTGCTACACAGCATATAGTGCACAAGGACGCCCCCCATAACAGAGTGACCCATCTTAAAATGTCAATAGTGTGCAGTAGAAGCCCTGTCCTAGGGCCCTGGAGTCCTCCTCCCAGCACACCCCCTTCTGAACTACCCTGGCCTGGAAGTTGCACAACCCATCTCATTTTGCCCAGAGAAGAACTAGGCACGTGGTCCAAATCGAGAAACCATAAATGTCTCCATCTCTCTCTATGAAATTCCTTGAAAGCCCGTAGCCAGTGCCGCAGGTGAGTGCATGGAAGTGGAAGGTAGAGCAATACCTGGGTCCCAAACCTGTAGCCATTTCTGGTGGAGGAGTCTTTGGGGACCCTCCCTCCCCAGGGCAAGGAGGACCTCTTTGCTGGGTTCCTACCCATGGTTTAGCCTCTTGCCCTCTCAGAGTCGAACCTCTCATCCTCTTTGGGATGAGAGACCCCATGCAACACCTGAGGGATTTCCCTGACTTCAGGCCAGCCCATGGGGGTCAGTCCCATCAGCCCCGAGCCACACAGGAGGGAGGAATCTGCATTTTCCTGAGCCTACATCCGCTGCTATGTTTCAGGTCTACCCCACGGCGACGCGGGCGCTGGGCCTGGGCACCTGCAGTGGCATGGCAAGGGTCGGTGCTCTCATCACGCCATTCATTGCCCAGGTAGGTGTCACCCCCAAAGACAGAGGGGGTGGGGGGGACGAAACCCAATGCACAGCAACCAGTTGCTATATCGTGTCTGTCTGCAGAACCCTGTGTGCGTTAGCTTATTTTATCCTAAGAATTCACCCTGTGAGAGACGAGATTGCATGCAGATGAGAAAATTGAGGTTCAGAAGATAAACAGACTTGCCCAGGTCACACAGCAGGGAAGTAGACAAGCCAGGAAATCAGGCCCAGGTCCTTCCTATGTAGACAACCCTAGGGTGCCAGATAATTTGACCGCAAACAAGTAGGCCAATGTGATTTAATAGAAAACAAATGTCCCAGAAAACAAATGTTCCTGCTTTTGTAGTTGGATAATTACATGTTGTTGCAGAAATTGGCAACTCTTCATCTTGAACCATTTCTTTTTGCTTTTGGAATATCCAGGGTTGGTTTTTTTTTTTTTTTTATTGAGGTAAAAGTCATGTAAATGAATCATCTTAAAGGGAACAGTTAATTCAGTGGCACTCAGCACATTTGCATTGTCATACAACCACCAACTCTACCCAGTTCTAAAAGATTCCCATCACCCCAAATGGAAACCCTGGTCCCATTAAGCAATTATGCCCCATTTAGCCCAGCCCCTGCCAGTCACCCCTCTGCTTTCTGCCCAGTGGATTTACCTGTTCTAGATATTTCAGGTAAATGAAATTCAAGTACAAGTAATTCTGTTCTACATTGATTTGGAGGGAGGTATCTTGTTGTGGGGTTTTGGGGGGGAGGTTTGACCATTGTATAGCACTCTTGATAATTGATTGAGCACTTACCATGTGCTTGCATGATGCCAGGTGCTTCCAGGTGGCTTCTCATAGCGGGTGATCCTACCCCGTGCCCATTCAGCAGGAAATGGGCTTCAGCTCTGCCATGTGGTTTGCCCTAGGCCATGAAGCTGGGGGTTTGCACAGGCAGGATCCTGGGAGAGAGTGTAGTTGTAAGGAGTCTAGACTCAAGCTGAGTTCAAATCCCAGCCTATCCTTATCATCTGTATCGACTTGGGTGTACGGCTTAGCCTTTTTGAGCCTTGGTTTTCCCTTCTGTAAAATGGAGATGAAGTGCTCAGCTCATAAAACTGTGGTGTGGAATGCTTACCAGAGAGCCTGGTGTTACCAGTGCCAGTTGATGGTTGGTGTTACCAGTGCTTCGTGCTCTTATGGACCTGTGTCTCCCTCCCCAGGTGATGCTGGAATCCTCCGTGTACCTGACTCTGGCAGTTTACAGTGGCTGTTGCCTCTTGGCTGCCCTGGCCTCCTGCTTTTTGCCCATTGAGACCAAAGGCCGAGGACTACAGGAGTCCAGCCACCGGGAGTGGGGCCAGGAGATGGTCGGCCGAGGGGCGCATGGCGCAGGTGTCACCAGGTCGAACTCTGGCTCTCAGGAATAGTGACTGATGAGGGGCTAAATTGGTCTTTGAGGCTGTAGAGCTCGAGGGAGCTGGCAGAGCCCAGCTGGGGCACTGATCGTCACTGCCGACATCAAGAACTTACCCAAGAGTACGACCTGGACTGACAGGGTTTTGTGTCTTGACTCTGTTCATATTCATTGAGGTCCACCGGGGGTGGGGAGGCGTTGGCTCTAGGGCGTTCTCTGCACATGTGGGGGAAGGTTTGTTGATAACCTGAGGATCTGCATGGGAACATCGTCATGTTAGGAGGGTCCAGTGATGCCAGCAGCCAACCAGATGCTACCCAGAGTCACCCGGTTACACCCTCCATAAGCAACAATCAAAAGTTCCCTGTAGATACAGTCCAGGCCTGAGCGACACCTGCCATCCACCGAGCAGACCTATTTGGTAGGTTTCTCCCACACCCTGGCCCCAGGCTTTCTTCTCTGAGATCGCAGGTGACCTAGATATGGCTGAGCAGCTTTTTCTGGGGTCAGAAAGATGCTCCCTTGGCAGGGGCCCCTGCAGTTGCCTCCCCAGGGCCTGAGGAGTGGTGACTCTGGATGTGCATTCCAGAACTTGAGCCTCCACCTGGTCCCCGCTGGAGTTGTTGTGTCTGGCTCCAAGGGATCCAGATGTGTCCCTAGGGACAGCTGAGCTTGTATCACATGACAGCCTTAGAAAGCTGTTGCCTCCTAGGGGTAGGGACTGAGGCAAAGGGAGGTAAGAGTCAAGGCCAAAACCAGGAAAGCAGTGAAGGCCAGGTTGAGTTTCTTTTCTGGCCCCCTCCTTGGTCAGGCTGAATGGCAGTTCTTGGGGAAAGAAAATAGTTTACTCAGGTTTCAGGGCTTTGGATTTCATGCTTGGGCAGATGGCTGAATGGGTAGAAAAATCCAAAGGATGTTAGACCAATCACCCCTTCCCACTGGGATTAGGGGATTAGGAATCCCCAACACAAAGCTGTCCTTCCAGCAGGGGCTGTCTTGGTCTTTCCCCAAAGGCAGCACCTAGAGTTTTCCAGCAACGGAGCTCCTGGCAGGGGTGCCATTGAGTAAAGAGGGCTGAGAGTGCCCAGATTTGTAAAACATGTACGTTTTCAAAGGAACAGGAGGGAGGCCAGCTGGGTTTGGGGTTGGCCTCTAGAGGGCTGGAGGTACGTCTCAGCAGACTGTATCCACTTCTGGGATTCGGTTTACATGAGCCTTTTTCCCATGGTGAAGGCAGGGACCTGGAGAAGGAGGGAGGAAGCTGTCAGATCCCATCAAAGGCCAGGGAAGACGGACCCTCTGCTGGCAGTAAACATTGCAAGGAAGCCAAACGTGTGCGTTCATCTCTTATTAAAACATGTCAGTGATGGACATTGCAAGAGTCTCAGTTTGTTCACTTGTCACAGCTTCCCCTGTGACAGTCCAGTTTAATCACCTTGCTACCTTTGTTTCTCCAAGATTATCTCAATGCTGTAATGTGATAATCTCCTTTCCAAAAAGGGGGAATGTTGCACCATTGGCTACCAACATTGTGACTTGGAGTTTGTTAGAGATGACATCTTCTTCTGATGGTGGAAACTTCTTCTGGCTCAAGACTTAAGTCAATGGCCAAGAATCCTGTGTCCCTAAAATGTAGGCTGCAGCCCGCGTGGCCCAGGCAGTAAGGGCGGGGCAGTTTGGCAGACCTGTCTCTCAGCCTTCCACGTTTCCATGACCACATGTGGTTGTTGCTAATTATTTCTGGACAACTGAGCTCTCCTGGGTAACACAGAACTTTTGCTAATATCTTTTGCCTCCCAGCTAGTCAGGTGCTGCCAGGTGATCATGTCTACTCCTCCCTCAAATAGCCCAGTGGAGCTGGGGGCTGGGTAGGGCAAGAGTGCTTGGTGGGCAGGCATGTTTTTCAGGAACTAGAATTCCAGCACCCGTAGTTGAGGGCTTTCTCTGCCTGAGAAAATGAATGTTTAAAACTCATTGCCTTCTAAATAGCCCACCTTTTTTTTTTTTTTTTTTTTTTTTTTTCTTGTCTCCCAAAATGAGCCAGCCATATCAATGA